TTTGGTTTCAAAAGTTAAAACATATTTCGTAATTTTTAATCTAAACTTATAATGATCTATGCGTTTTTCGAGGTCACCGTTACCTCTTATCCTGGCACGCTCTCTAGCGACAATGCTTTGCTGTGACGTCAATGGTTGTCATGACTATCGTCCAGGGCGCCGATATTACTATGTTCTGTGGTCGTCTGTTAACACACACACACAAACTATTTTTTTTGTTTTGAAAGTTATCTCGTCTGACTCACGAACGACGGCAGAACCAAACAGAGTTGTTGATTCGAATAACAATTCTTTCGCCCATTACGTCATTTTGACGTCACAAAGGCGCATCTTTGCCAGAGGGCGCGCCATATTACGACTGACTGTGTGTTGTATTTTGAAGAGAAAGTGTAACACGACCATTGCCATACTTTGATGTGTGGTTGATTGAACGCGTTACCGCCCGCGTTCAACCGTGCAATGAATTTAAATCTGTCACAGCCTCAAGGACGTTCGAATTTCGAGTAAATAATATGGGACCCATATCAAACAACTGTGGCGCTTTTCATTTTAATTTACGTTATTTTGCATAACATATATTATATATTGGTTTAAAAAAAAAAAAAAAAAGATTTTACGTGCCGTATTTTTTCTACCCCTTGATTAGTTAATTTGGTGTTATCGTGCAAGTAAGTTTGTTAGTTAATACTTGACTCATTGTAATTGTTTGTGGTGTAACTTTTTTACAATTTGCAACTGACGAGCGATTAACAGTCCCATGACCTCCCGTCGCCGACATCCAAAAATAAACGCCTGCAGGATAAAGTCCATATTATAATATATTGTATGTGCTAGCCGAATGGGGTCACTTTATTATATATATTTATGAATTAAGACTATATTTAAGTGATTTTTTTTACTTGTATTGTGGGTCAGTGATATCATTCAGTATTTTGTTTGTCTACCATCTGTTGCTAAAATAATTTAAGCTTAAAGCGCGGTGGTCGTCGCGCAGCGCGTGTTCGAATTTCATGTAAACAAACAACGTATTTTACACGCGTTGTATACGTCGTTATAAGTCCCATATCGAACAGAACGCGGCGCGACGACCACCGGCCTTTAAATAGAACCAGTGTGATGTATTAAACTCAGTCGCTATGACAACAAATTTATTTATCTTACTAGTATTTAAGCACAGTCATCGTGGAGCTAAATTTAGCCGCACGACACAACCAACAACAGGACAGCACTGCCGGATGTTATGTACATTTCTCTGACATTACATATACATATATCCAAAGACAATATTATTTTTTATTTAACAATGTTATTTAATTTGATATTATATTGTTCGCATGTGTTCTGTTGTCCGATGGTTTTCGCTGAAGATAGTGTCCGCTTGCTTCGAACAAGTGAGGACTTATTATTAGGGTGGCAGTCTTTCACTGAAATTCTCTAATGTGATTTTTTAAACGTCAATGAATTTATTATCGAATTTCCGGGTGTATTACTCCAAATAACAATCAAATACGGCATTTGACATGGTGGGCGGCAGAACCCTTCGATGTTTTACATGTCAGTCAAACAGACTGAACCAATCCACCCGTTCTGAGGTCTTTTTGACCAAAAATGAAGCCAATATTGGGGAAATTCCGACAATCTAAGTGTTGCGCACACATTCCTTATTCCAAACTCATAGAAGCTGCAAATAGGGGAAGCAAATCGATTAAATAATAACGTTTCATATTGCAAGATAAGTAAACCTTTAC